GAGTTTGGCTTGACCCTGATGCAGGCAATCGTGCCTTGACCAATGTGCGTCTTCACCCTCGGCTTGAGTCCTGTCGTTGGCGGTCCATCATTGGAGGAAGTTGGCCGGCACCGCGTCTCATGAGTCTCTCTCTGGATGGGCCCTTAACTCTCGGCGTGAGGTTCTGCCCCAGCTTCGCCGGAATATGCGCCCCCCGGTTTCTCGTAGGGCTCTGAATCTCTTGCAGCTTGACTATCTCAATGCTCTGTCTTCGACCACGTACATCATAATGCCGTTTCCTAGGCCAAGGCTGGTGGACGTCTGCATCGCTCTCTCACGCAGCCACAACCGCGAACAAACAATATCCCAGTGATAGGAGCTGCCGTCGTGAAGCGGAAGAGCTGGTGCTGCAATACGCATTTAGCACTGCGTACGGCTCCGGAATTGAGCAGCATGGCATAGTCTTTATCTCGAGAGCAGTGAGATGCGTCCTAGGAGCCTTGACCGTTGTATTTTATAGAATCCCATGCCCGTTGGAACACCGCCAGAGTACAGATTTCTGGCCATGTTCGGGTATATCGGGTTCTCACTGGGGCTTTTGATTGGGCAAGGTTATCCGGGACGAGAGCATTTCCGACACAGTCACGAAAATATCGATATATGGCTGTCAACGTAAAGAAGCATAACTTGATGGTTCAGATATTCATAACTGAGCACATGCTGACGTTGCAGAGGAAAAAGTGACAGCTCGGGCTGGCCCGAAGATGGTGATCGGCGGCGTGGAGCAGTCTTCTAGCCGGGGAAATGTCCGATCGTGCCGATGTAACTGGGTACACCTGAAAACGGGAGTTTGGGGGGCTGGCTGTGGAACCCCCACGAACCCAAACTTGTCACTTTTTGGGCGTTAGCCCGTTGAGAGCATCATTTCGTAAGGTCCCGGGATGAATCGAGCAGGGTTCAATATGACGAACCAAGCGCGACGGCGTAAAACAAAAACAGGGGCATTTGTGGAGGGGTTATCTCTGTTGGTCGACATCGGGATGAGGGGGAGGGGAACGCAGACGAAGTACGTACGTCGCCTTTATCAATCAGATCAATTTTTTTCTTCCAATTCTGAGGATGGCCTGAGAAGGGGTCTCGCGCGTTTCGACCAGACATGGAGATGAGACGCGCAAGTCCTTCAAGACATATCCGCTTCATGGTGTGACCCTTTGCCATTTTGGTGTTATCCCTTCGGCTGGGGCTGTGCCGAATTTGGTTTGCTGGGCGTCCAGGGCCACCCACGGCAACTCCAGTCTCCAAGAGCACCAAGAAATCCCAAGACAAAACCACGCAGCACGGCAAAACGGCACTCATTTTATTTTGCTAGTGAATCCATCGCGGTGTGCTCTTGGTATCTTCTTGGCTCAGCCAGGCACCCAGCCATTGCCAGCCAATAGACCATTACGCAACGCTGTCTGCCGGTCGCGCGGCTTATTCAGGCCAGATGAGGGGGACTGGATGGGGTGCAACACCTTGGCGCGCATGAGTTTGCTTTGCGCTTGGCCTTTTTGCTTTTCGAGTGTTGTCTTTTTTTTTTCTTAGCCGTCTCAGTCGTCTGGTCTCATTCTTTAACCGGCCTTGTCCTGCAGCCACCAAGCCCAATGATGTTTCTGGCGTGGCGACCTTGTTTCTCACTCCTTCAACGACATCTCTAGAGTTTTTGTCGCATCTCAACTTTACAATGCCGCATCTACACCCATCGCGATAGCTTCATTCTATCCACCCCGTCAATGAGTTCAAGCGACATCTTCCACCTTCTTCAATGATCACGACGACGAACCCACCTCATCACCACATCAGCCTCATTCTGCTGACGACGGTTGCTTCTCACTTAACCACAACGCAAAGGTATAGCTTACGTCACTCGAACGCTCCCTTGGCAGCCATTCCTCCCTCTCGATCAAGATCCCGTGTGTCCTGCGACATCACGCCTGGCTCCCATCGCCGGATCTTCAACTCTCTCGCGCTCTGCTTCCTTCCCGCGGCTCTGCATATGTGACTCTGACCTGCATCACCAACAACCGCCACCCAATCGCCGGTGCGTGACGGCCACCACCTCATGACAACCTCACCACACCACCACCCCCTCACCACGAACCACACCCAAAACCGCCCAATCACATCCGTCGCCAAACAAAAACAACCATGTTCCTCCCCTCACCACGCATAAGACGCCTCTTCATCCTCCTCTTCCTCGCCTTCCTCATCGGCAACGCCCTCTTATTCCTCGTCCTCCCCTACGACAATCCCCTCGTCCTCGCCTTCCGCTTCAACACCGCCAGCCTCAAAAACTGGTGGCGCGGCCCGGGAACCGAAAAGGACGCCTGGCTGTACGAGCCCGCCAAGTTCCCCATCGAGTACCGCACCGACGTCGGCCTGCTCATCAAGACGGGCTACGGAACTCGTCACCGGCTCGTGGCGCAGCTTGAGGCATTTGACCTCACGGCGCGGGATAAGGATGCGTTTGTGGTAGTGGGCGACTGGACGCCGCGGGAGAATGGGACGATTGCCGGGGTGAAGGTGCACGATGCCATTGGCGGCGTCATGGCGATGCCGGAGATGAGGGCCCATCATGATGCGCCCAAGTTTAAGGAGTATCTCGCCCTCACGGATGCCGTGCAAAAAGGGGATGATGCCAAAGCTACTGAGATTGGCCAGAGTTTCGGGTGGGATCTGGATGCGCTCAAGGTAAATACTCTCCCTCCTTGTTTTCCCCGCGTGTTCGCGCACGCAAGGCAACGAGAGCGTCGTACTGACAGCAGCACAAGTTCATCTGGGGCCTCGAATACATCTACGACAACCTCCCGCCAAAGAAATGGTACGTCATCGTCGACGACGACACCTACCTCGTCAAATCCTCCCTCCGCCTCCTTCTCGCGCATTGGAACTCGGACGAGCCGCAGTACATTGGCAACGCAGTCGGCGACTTCAAGGGCCGCTTTGCGCACGGCGGATCAGCCGTCGTGATATCGCACGAGGCAGCGAAACAGCTCCTCTCTCGGCGGGACGTTGTCGCCGCGGCGCAGGAGCACTCGCTCGAGGAGACGTGGGGCGATAAGCTTGTCGCAACGGCGTTCCAGAAGATCGGGGTTTACCTCGATGAGCGGTACAGCCACTTCTTCAATGGCGAAAGGCCGAATATCAGCAAGATGATGGCGGACCGATTCTGCTCGCCGCTCGTGTCGTTTCACGGGGTGGCGGACCCAGCTGAGATGAAGAAAGTTGGACGGGCGTTTGCGGACGAGAGGAGTCCGGTATTCTGGGGACAGCTATGGGAGATTTATGGCGCGCCGTCAGTGGAGGAGTTTAGGAGGGTGCCGGTGCGGACTGGGCGTGATTATGTTGGGAGGATTGATGAGCGAGCGAAGATGGTGCACGCGGTTACCAGCGCAGAGGCGTGTTTGAAGGAGTGTGAGGGTATGGGGAGCAAGTGTTTGGCGTGGGCTTGGGTCGAGCACACCTCGGAGTGCAAGCTCAGCCCGTGGATGATTCTTGGGGAGGAAACAGAGGGGCACTATTCGGGGATCAACACGGACGAAGTTGAGAAGCTACAGGTAAGTTGTTAAGAAGTTGAAAGGGTGGCGATAGACGGCAACGGTAGACATGAGAGCGTGATGATACCCAGGGAACACATAGGCGTAGCGGCGGTTAGAATTGGATTACATTTGGTCGGTATTTGGGGGACGGCGCAGGTAACTTAGGCTTTTACTTCGAAAATAAGTATCGATCCGTTTCTTTCTCAATGAGACGTTCCCATTTGCTTATTGCTGAAGTATTTTGAGAGACTGACGACTCCGGCAGCAATCTCCACATGACTATATCTGATGCTACGGCGCATCCGTATCCCCGGTGGGGGAAGCAACTTCACCGGCAGCTCGGTTTCGGGCGGGGTGCAACTCGGGCCCGATCGAGGACCGAGCTCCATAGGGCAGGTCCGGACCAGCCCCATCTAACATGTGGCTTAGCCATGAGATTCAGATGAGCACGTGTGTGGCTTGAGCACCAGGGCCCCACGAAACGAATCGGGCTGGCTGTCATCGTGCAGGGACAGTACCTTAGGAACCTATGGTGTGCTGCAGCAGCAGCGGCCTTTCCGACGGGGAAAGTCACTGTGTGCCAGTCGGGTGTGGAGGGTCCCAGGTCCCTTGAGGTTTAGTGCGAGAGGCGTCAATGACGATGACGTCTCCGTCTCATTATGTGCGCGCACACGACACTGGACACACAGTCACTGACGCGAGCTAAGCCACGCTCCATCCCATCATTTTCGCCTCTTGCAATTAGTACGGCGCATTGCTGCAAGTTGGTCTAGAAGCCACGGATGCCAACTGGTTTGGTAGTGGTGGTCGACAAGACAGTTGACGTCAACTCTATCAACCAGCTTCCCACACCACCCACCAGCCCCGTCATCGCATCGCATTGCCCCTCGGACATGGAATTAAACAGCAGCAAAGCTCCTTTGGGTCTGTCCGTTGGTTTCTAACGGTCAACATTTAATTTCCACGACTACTTCCAATCCTCTTGGCAAACACCCTCACTGTTCAAAGCGAAATAAAGAAATCGAACAAGAAGCACCTCACGAAACGGACCACTCTCAGCTCTCATAGCTGTGTCTCCATCGCCTAGTCAACCAACCGAGCGGATCGACTTCATTTCCCAACTCTTTTCTCGAGGTTCCCTGTCGTTCATCGGTAGTGGAAACATTCCTCCCGTTTGGCCCTACCGTGGACCAACCCAGACACCAGAACTGCAAATCGCAGCTCCCAAATCCCTGTCCAGCTGTTGGGGTGCCCCGCCAAAAGCTGTTCTGAGCAGCAGGTCCCGTAACCAGCACAGCGAGTGCGGTCATTCAGCGGCGCCCAACCCCTGCGGCACTACGACATCCCACTTTCCCATAAAGACAGGTCCAAGACAGCTCACCACACGCGGGTCCTTTTTCAAGAGACCCCGCCTGCAGGCCGTAACTTTTGGGAGAAACTTAGACACAACATACATCCACACGCACACACACGCACCCTCCAACTCCCTATTCCTTCTTCTCCTATATTCTCGAAGCCATTCACAACTCTGACGACAGCTGCCTCAAGTCTGCCACAACATCTCACACCCAACAACCGCGACCCCTCGAATCCACAATGGCGGCCCAGACCCCAACATCAGCTCAAGCCCAGGCCAACCAGGGCAGCTGGGGAGCTTTCCTCAAGGTATGCCCTTCCTCTGCTTCCTCTTCGCTACTGAGTCTTCCAACTTTCCCTCCCACCCCTGACACGAAAAACGTAGCAGCTGACAATGGCATTTCGCCGCCCTCTCACAGTCCATCGCCTCCTTCAACGGTGACCTCTCCTCCCTGACGGCCCCGCCCTTCATCCTCTCCAGCACCTCCCTGACCGAATTCTCCTCCTACTGGTGCGAGCACCCCTCCATCTTCGCCGCCCCCGCAAAGGAGGCAGACCCGGCCAAGCGCGCCCTGCTCGTTACAAAGTGGTTCATCAGCACCCTCAAGCAGCAGTACGCCTCCCGCAGCGAGCAGTACGGCAACGAGAAGAAGCCCCTCAACCCCTTCCTCGGCGAGCTCTTCCTCGGAAAGTGGGAGGATGACGCTGGCACGACGGAGCTCATCAGTGAGCAGGTTAGGTAAGAGAGCCCTTCTTCCCTCAAGAAATACTACAGACTCTAGAGCTCCAAATCCCCAAGTTGGGCACAAGACACTGACCTTCGTTCGCAACCAGCCACCACCCGCCCGCGACAGCCTACTCCATCACCAATCTCCCCACAGGCGTCCACCTCGAGGGCTACAACGCACAAAAAGCAACCTTCAGCCGCACAATCAACATCAAGCAAATCGGCCACGCCGTCCTGACCATCCCGACCCCAGATGGCAAAAAGGAGACCTACCTCATCACCCTTCCCGCCCTCCACATCGAAGGCCTCATCTTCGGCGCTCCCTTTATCGAGCTCGAGGGCACCTCCTTCATCACCTCCTCCACAGGATACACCTCCAAGATCGACTACTCGGGCAAGGGCTGGCTCTCGGGCAAAAAGAACAGCGTCATTGCCTCCGTCTACCCGACAGGCAAGGAAAAAGATGTGGCCTACAACATCACGGGCGTCTGGACCAAATCTTTTGAAATCCACGAGGGCGCCGCAAAGCACAACTCCTCCAAGACCCTGATCGACACCTACGACGCATCGCAGCACCCAACCTCCAAGCTCATCGTCGCTCCCCTCGAGAAGCAGCACCCGCTCGAGTCCCGCCGCGCCTGGAAGGGCGTCGCCGACGGCATCGCAAAGGGCGACATGGACCTCGTCAGCCGCGAAAAGTCTGCTATTGAGAAGGCGCAGCGCGACCTCCGCGCAAAGGAGAAGACGGAGGGACGCTCCTGGGACCGTAGATACTTTACTGATCGCCATGGCGCTGGCGATGCCGTGCTCGAATCCCTCGGTGGCGCCGTTGGTCTCCCTGCTACGGGCGACGCGGACAAGACTGGTGGTCTGTGGCGGTACGATGCCGAGAAGGCGGATAAGGTGCGCAGCCAGGCGGCGCTGAGCGAGGCGGACCAGGCCAAGATTGCGGGGGAGATTTTGGGACAGCAAAAGTCATCATGAGTTACGACGTACGACGAGAGAGAGGAAATCGATAATGAGGAAGGGCTTGAGGAATTAGTGTTTACCGGCATGGAGTCTCTAGCGTGAGGAGCTTCGCCTCCAGTGAGGGGACGGGAAGACAGTCTCGATGGAAACGTTTGCTAGAGTTGGCGAACTGGCGCATGGGAATGTTCTTCATGTGGCCGTGAGCCCGACTTCGCGGCATATATGAGCACCGAGTAGAGTACAAGTAATCGTATAAAGTCAGGTTAACTTTGCTGCGCATGCAACATGCCGATTGAGTACCATTCGCGTGGTAGTCCGTATTATGTTTCCTTTCCTCATAGGCTACATTGGGCTTTCGGACCGACGTCGATTCCACACTATCCTGTGTACCCTGGTGGTCATCTCCAGCAATGTGATGATCGATGTCAAGGTCCCCAGAATAATCGGTATGCGTGCATGGTATCGTCGAGAGAGCATTCTGCACGGTAGACAGAGAATTCTGGCCATGATTTGCGACGCTGTATTGGGCTTTATCCAACCTTGTCTCTGGCAAAGTCGATTGTCTTTGCCCCTCGTACTATTTATGTACTTCGTCTCTTTACAACCAGGTTTCTACCTTCCCCCCTGATAAGAACACAAAAAAAAAGCCAATTCTGCAAAAAAATGCTTCTAACAACCACCTCAAATGCTGATCGGGGTTCCTCGCGGCTTTGCCCACCATGTAGATGCATAAACAATAAGACTATTACGCCAGCCGATGCATTTTTTTTCTTTCTTCCCCAAGCAATCGTTGTGTGAGTTTGTGCGCGCATAAGAGCATGTGCGTGATATGTTCAAAACATTGGAATCTCAAGAATGTATGCAGGCCAAGGTCACCGCAGCATTGTAAGTTTCATCGAGGCGGTGGCCGTGTAGGCCCGGAACGGCTCGAACTCGGGAGGCAACGTTCTAAGCTGCGAGGGAACGTTGCCAGCCTCGCTCTACGGGCTGTCATCCCTCTCGAGCTCGTAGAATAGCAAGTAGACCTCACGTCGAAGATCGAGGACCTCGGCCGTCTTGGCTTCGCGGACCTTCTCGTCGCTGATGCGCCACCAGCGATCAGCGGGCTGCTTCTTGCGGGACTTGTGGACAGGAGGCCGAGGCACTACGGCCATTGGTGTGGAGTGAGGCGGACTGCTTCCCAGTGTGCTGTTTCCATTGACCTTTTGTGAAATCTTTGAAACGGTGCTCTTCGCCGAGGCAGTAAGTGACCGTACAGATCGGATGCTAGCCGAATCGGGCTCTCTCTGCCTGTCGCGTGGAGCAGATGTCGGACTAATTCTCTTCCTTACTCGGTCCTTCGGCGAAGCGTCGGATGATGATAGTGATCGGGTAGAGGAAGCCGTCTCGGAGCTCGGCGTCAGAAGGTCGGGTGTCGATACGGCGGGACTGACTCCCCGAGCAATGGCATCGAGTTGCGGTGTCGATGGCTGTGGGGTGGCGGCGGGACTCGCCGTTTTGCTGTAGATGCCTGATGGCTGGAAGGTATTCTGATTAGAATACGGAGCATACGTATTCTGTCGTCTGAACGATTCGTAGTGTCCACTATGATGGCTTCCCTTGTGGGTAACGAGACCCAACAATTTGTAGTTGCGACGATCGCGCAAGCCACCAAGAGGCAATCGCTCTGGAAAGGCAACTTTGGCCGAGTTCTTGGTCGACGTTTGGTCATAGATGGACCGCGAAAGATGGACGGCAAGGATGCGGGGGAAGGACGTGAGGCGCGTCGACCGTGCGATTTTACGCTTGGGCGCATTGGCAATGTTCGGGAGGAGCACATCCTCAGGGACATGTTCCGGATCAAAGTCAATTGCATGGCGCAACTTGCGCACTGCCTCCTCGAGTGCGGTCCTCTCAGTCTCGTTCTGTGCGTTTGCTAGATCGCTCTTGAGGGATTCTTCGGCATGAATCAGTCGGCATCTCTCGCACTTGAAGTCTTCAATCATTTCCGTCTTGAAGATTTCGTCAAAGCATGAGCTGAGAGTGGTGGAGCTGACTTGGGGCACATTCAACGTCAGCATGTAGAAGGACTCCTCTCTTGGCTTCGTCTTGTGGCCGCAGGTCTGACATTCGGATTGGGATTCGTATTTCCCTTCCATGGGAAAGCCTTCGTCTTCGTCCAGAGGCGCATGTATGCCATTGGTCTGTATCTTGGGTACTGTTGGTGTAGGCAATGCTGAGGAGGACTCATCGCCATTGCCGTTGGCCAGGTTGAGCCTTTCCAGCTTTTCCTGCACTGCGTCGCCATTGACAGAAGCACCTACCGAGGTAGCTCGTGAGGCTTCCAATCTTGCGTGGGTACGTGCTCTCTCGCCGGCGTGGTACTCTTCCTTAAGTCTCTCGGCCACTATTTGGAGAAATTCCTGGGCATCTTGCTGCTGGCGACTAATGCGCTGCCTAAATGCCGTCTCAAGTACTCTCACGAATTCAATCGCAGAGATTGATTTCTTGTAGATGGGCCTTTCGTTGAGTGAATCAAGCATATCCTTCAGTCCTTGTGTTACCAGACCGCGTTGCATGCCCTCAATCTTCCATTCCGGGTAGCTCTTGCCGGGCGGCTGAACCAATTGGGAGTATACGCCTTCATCGTCAATATTTCGGCGGTGAGTCTCGCGAATTAGGTACATGCGCAGCTCGCCGAGACCCGCGAGGGCCTGCAGGGTCGAGTTGATGAAGCAATCATTTGCAGCATTGCGCAAGCCGACGACGCCTTTCCTACGTGACGATGAGGTGCTGGACTCGTCGATTGTAAATGTAGGCGCAAAGACGTAGACAAGGGCAATGGCAGCCAAAGATGCGCCGGCGGCGTAGGAAATCGTGGTCACGTTTTTGTCGGGCATATTGGAAAATGGAAAAATCGGGAGGCTCGGGACAGTCGAGGCAACGTGGAGGAGATCGGATTTATGCGCGGACGAGCGCGATTCTCGGGGATGTGCGGCTCCTGGAGGAAGAATAATGGTCAGCACAAGTGCCTCCGAAGAATTGTGAAAAAGTCCCAAGGCAGTGGTCGTGGTGCGTTACACCCGTCTTCCCGAGGGCGCAGGACGGAAGCCAAATTTACCTATGCTTTCTGTAGGTAGAGGAATCGCAAGTTCATAATGCTGTGAAGACCGGGCCAGTAGGGATACAGGGATCCAACATTGTCTCTCCAAAACGCTGGAGACGGCTTGTAAAGAGTTTGGTTGACGATGTCAAGCCGCAGAGGGCAAGGCTGTGGGAGAAGCTCGGCGTAAGGCGAAGGGGAAGAGGAGGAGAAGTGACGAGGAGAGAGATGAGGCGAGAACTGGAGAAGGAGGCTAGAAACTGGAGACGTGGACTGGGAAAGAGGGTCTGCGATGGAACACACCAGGTTGCTGGAATGGATGGACGGGGGGTGGCAGAGTGAAAAAACGGGGTAAAATGGAGAAATCAAGTAGGTGGACGGGGGTTCACCACCGACCGAGGGGATCGGGGGTCGGGGGACGTAGGCAAAGGACGCAGTACGGTCAGTGGCGCATGTCGTTTTCCAGGAGCGAAGCGAGAGCGGCGGCGACAGCAGCCAGTATTGCCAGCAGCATGAGAATGCGACGAGGATGGTAGCAGATGGGCTGCAGAACGTCTGTCTGCTTTGTTGGTCTGCGTGTGTGCGCTGTTGGTTCAAGAGAGCCGAAGAGCAGGCATTACTCCTGTTGTTTGCTCTGTCAGTCAAAGGAGGGCCCCTCCAGCCGCGGTTTGAGAGTCGGTGTGCAGTCGGCGGGGGATTATACGGCTAAGGTACCAAGGTAAGACAAAGTACATAGACGGGATGGGAAAGACGGGAAAACGAAAGAAAGTTAAAGTGCAGGATACCTAAGTATGCATACACAACTTGCCCGACTGCTAGGTACACACAGAAAAGGGAACGAAGGAGGTAAAATGCAGGAATCCAATGGCTCTCGGCAAAATCCCATCTGGCAAGGGAACGGAAAGAATGGAAGGTGTTTGGCTGCGCCTGCCGCCGCCTCATTATGCGCGCCGCTGCGGCCGTCATTGCATCCCGTCAATTGATTCCAGCGAGGTAGGCAGTACCTTAGGTACCTGTAGGTACTCTCCCCATCTACACAGTAAGAGGGCACTCACCGTTACCGCGCGTTGCCCCGACGCTTTCCTTTTCCCAAGGTACGTTCCCCATATTGCTTCCTTCTTTGCAAACCCAGCCTTCCCATTCGGGTCTTCCCAAAGACGGGCCGCGCTTTCTTTCCTGCAACTTTTTCTTTGATTGGACAGTTGCTGAAGAAAGCGCGCCATGATCTCGGAAAGAACTCCTCTAGAGCGACCCTGCCTCCAATGACATCTTTCGGCCTGGGAACTTGTTTTTTAATTGGCAAGTGCCACTGCTTTTTTTTTTTTTTTTTTTTTTTTTTTGGGGCCCCGGCACCACCCGCTCGGCTCACTCGGCCGCCGTTGTTCCGACACGGACTGTGGTGAGGATTCAGGGCCCCGCCATGTCACTTCCATCACTCCCCTGTCTGCCAGGCCCGGTACGCAAGTCAACCCCGAGCTTCCATTTCGAGTGATGCATTGCCTTGAAGGCATGGGGACAGGTCTGACTTAGACCCCCTCCCATTCCTCCTGTCAGTCATCGGCCGATGTGACTGGCCCGCCGCATAGTCAGCAGTCATAACGCCTGTTCTTCGATTACCTTACTTAGTCCGTCAATGTTGAATATTGGTACTCAACTTTCCCAACCAACAGATGGGTACAGCAGCGTTGGTACGTTATCGGTGTGCCCCGCGTCTTGCCGCCTCCAGTACGCCGACCTGCATGTTCCACAACATCTTCTGGAAGCCCGCCGCCATGGCTCTAGTCATCAAGCCCTGCCCGCCCTGATCTCGCCGCACCTTACCTTGTTCCGCTGGCCCAACCGCAGACTGAGAGACTCGCGTCTCTATCGTATACGTTCCTGCAAGGCAACCACATTCAAGATGTGATCAGCACTCCTCAAAGCCACTTGATTGGAGACCGAGGCCACCATCTTTCCCAGTAGCTTAGTCGCTGCGACGTGGGGGGTTGGAGAAGCAAAACTCTCCAATGCAACGTCACCCGACTTTCAAGTTTCCTCACCAAAAGGACCGCTCTTCCGCGCCCGCTGACCACCATCGCTCCGATCCTTCTCTTATTCGTCCGCCGTCTGTACTCCGGACACCAACCATACTGCACATCGAGAGAAGAAATCCCCGATCTGTCCGAACCATCAGACGGTTCCCCAGCATCCTGACACTATGACGCAGAGGTATTCATACAGCAGTGGCAGCACTCGATCCCAGCACCCGACATCGCTTGTCAGAAGCTGCGGACAGAAACCCGACTCTAGTCAGAGACCTGCCGCTACCCCTCAGTCCTCTCCAATGTCTGAGATTACCGGCAGCACCTGTCTTGGGACCCCGCATCAAATGCCCTCGTGGACAGCTTACACCGCCGACTCCTTTCCTCGGGAATTAGGGGCATTCGACGGTAGGTATTGCTAAAGCGCTACAAGCAAAAGCGGGAGACAGCATCCAACGGCTCGTCTACTCCGCAAGAATCGAAGGCGAAGGCGAAGGATCATCAGCCACCAGCCGTTGAGCACCAACACGTACAAGAGCTGACACGAAGAGCCGAACGCACCCATGGACATCGAACGCACGCCTATTCGTCGGTGGCATCCAACATGTTCGCTTTGCGTAATCCCGCGGCGCAGCAAGTCTCCAATGTGCCGCCCGAAAGCGAGCATATCCTATTCTTCAGGTTATCTAACGCGGTATCTATCTATCACAGCTACAGAAGAGCAACGCCATGTTGAAAAAAAGACAACCTTATCGTACACTCCAAGACAATCCGCCTAGACCAATGACCTAATTTCTAGGGAAATTGACGTTGCTAACCCCAGATTCCGACCCCGGTTCCCCAGGCTCTGCCCTCCCAATACATGCGGGACAGTGCAGCTTGGATCTAGCTTGCAGCAAGCTGTCGGGCCGCATCTCAAGGCAAAATGGCATTGAGATCAGAAGTGGTGGCTACTCAGGGTATCGCCGAGATACTCGTCCTTTAATCGGGGAAAAGCGAAAAGAGAATCATGAACATTTCGCACTCGCGATCACCGCATCGAGCTGCTACTGCACCGCATTGACTGGCGGACTGTCCACTGGGTGACTCTTCCAGTCCCAAATTGACCCGTTCAGGGCTGCCATCTTGACCCAGTCGCAGCACAAGTCAGTCGCATTCTCATCCCCATAGAAAGACGTTGGGATGTCGTATTTCTCGATGGCTAGCATTCCCTCGGGGTCGTACTCGTCCCATCTTGTCGTCTCTATTTCCGGCAGGTCGCTTTCCACATCGGCAAGCACAATCTTGATCTTCCGGGGCGTCAAGTGGTCATAGCTGTTCAGCATATGGTAGTAGTCGTCTTTGATATTGATCCGTGGCGGAACTAGTGGTCGTGCGAGAACGACTTGTTCGAGCTGGGCTGTGTTTGCTATGTCATACCAGAGCCAGTGGCTCGACATGGGTGCATTGAATAACACGACGCGCCTCAGGTTGGGCCACAAGCTCCAGCAGTTGACGGTGAAGGTCTGTTGCATGAAAGTCAGAGCCGGATAGTCTCGTAAACAGATGAGCTCCTCGAGCTTGGATAGCCGCTGGAACCCGTCCGTCAGAGTCGGCCTGACATCGAGGTGGTCATCGTATCCAGACAAGGTCCCGAACGGCATGTCGACGATAAGGCGCTTGAGGGTGTCGCAAACCTCGCAAAAGAGCTCGCGCACCCACATGGCCGTCGGTTTATCATCTAGCGACTTTCCAAAGGGACTGAGGTAGAGGGAAGTGATGCATTTAAGTGATAGGGTCGGCGGGAGACTTCTAGGCGACGGTGAGAAGAGACTCAGCAGAAGCAAGCTCAGGCGGCTTGTCGAGTCGATGTGCATGCATCGCTTGCGGAGCAGCCGGGTACTGAAGTCATATGTTGAGCGGGAGACGCGACTGAATGATATCAGGGCTTTCGTTGCACTATGGGACGCAGGCAAGATTGACGATTCATTCGGTGGGAGAAGACTCTCGATGATGTTCAAGACGAGTTCCAGCGGCAACCGCTGGCGCTGAACCTGAGAAGAAGACATTTGCGTAAAGCAAGGGAAAAAGGCACGTAGGTTTTGCAGATCTGGCTGAGGTCCGGTAACGCAACAAGCGGCCGGGAGACTCTTATCTGATGAGCTTAATTGACGGAAACACACTGGCAACAAAGACGGATGTTGAGAGGAATGAGGGGAGACGCAAGCAGATACGCACGGGGTCCAGGCACCAGGTCAAGCTCGGTGAGGAGTGGCTGACCCCGGGTAGCCCCCGCTTTTCCCCGTAGCGCCCAATCCGGGGTCACATCAGTCTGCTTCACCGAAGGTCGGGCTTCGAAATTCACATTATTCTCTTAGAATCTTCCCATTAGCAATGATCATGTGCAATCTCTATCTTTAACCAATTCTAATTCGCCTGTTGACTGCCTCGATAGGTGAATTATCCAGCATTTTGGCTTGATCAGACTCCCACTATGTAAACCCCATCGTTTGTATCATCATTCAATCAACTCGGATGCTATTCCATCAACGCTCGTCATGACGAGCCATTTTCGACCGCAATTTCCGCTGACTTGGGCTGCCACAGAGAGTTTCTTCTCGGCGCCGCATTCGACCTGTCATCAGTCTGCTCGTCAGAAAAGCTTCTAGGAACCGCATCGCCCGCTGGCCCAGCCTGCCATAATGTCGCGCTTCCCCTCCGCAGGCCAGTGTCGGCAAGCTTCTGGGCGGTGAACTCTGGGCTCGACGCCTGCGACGTTTCCGAGGGCTGAGGCTCT